AGCATCATTTGCGAGAGATGACCAACCTCCCCCAAAGCCACCGTCCGCTTTATAGTTTAACCTGGCCTGACTTGCAAGGCTTTTGTCATCCAAAATCGAGGATGTAGTTATCTTTGAGTCAGCGATATTTCCGCTTTCCATGCCAAGAGGTGTGATGCAGTCTACAAGATGCAAATCAAGAACCAGAAAGAAAATGTACTTTCCTTTGAGGGAATGGTCAGATCTAATTTAAATAGCTACCGATAAAAAACACTGACACTGGTCGAATTTAATTTTTTTTCAACCTAGAAGACACATATTACTCTGGCCGTTTTCATAATCAGGTAAAAACAAAAACTAGCTCGTGGATGGAAACGATCATGCGATTGACTTGGTTCATCTAAACCTGCATCTTTTTTATTGAGTAGCTGAACTAAGATGAATACCCTTACCACGGGCCACTTCTAAGATTTTTGTAAACCCGTTTTCCAAAATGTCCGTAGTCATGTCATTGAAGAAGATACTTTTCAACTATGAAAGACAGAAATCGTTCGAAATGATTGAATCTACCTGGGCATCCGTAAATCTCAATTCTCATTGATATGTGTTTATGCCACTCTATTGGCAATAATCGGACGAAACGTGCTCTGATCGGCTCGCTAAGTCTTTTGATTACAACTGTGGAACTATCTTCATTTCCATCGAAAACCTTCAAAAGCAAGTTTTAATAAACAACGTAATTAACATTCAGTTTGCTTCATTCTCTCACAATTGCCCAAAAACTTACTTATCCGCCCAACCACCTATAAAACCACTTGCCCTCCCCCAACCAGTCATTTACAGCACACAATTTCCAAAACTGGGCTGAACGTTTTTTCATTTACATCCATAGGTATCATATTGATCATACCATCACGGTGTACGATAAACATTAATTACTGTCAGGGTATCCTGACTTCATCGTTAGAATACAGCGCTGAGGGCATACCTGTGCAGAACTGTGTTCTACTTTCTTGTAAAATCGGAAATTTATTCCAGAATAGCTAAATTGTATTCTGTATTTTGTCACCCACTCGTCGATTCCATCTATCCCCTGTGTTGCTAAATGCGTCACAATTGCTTCACTTCCAAGGTCCACCTGTAACCATTGATAAAGATCGTTCTTGCGAGCAGACCACCCCCTATTTTTGCCATCAGTGGCTGCTTGAATGTGCAACCTGGCCTGCGATGGAGCCCGATCATCATTCAGTTGTGAGGAGGCATATATTTGCGCATCAGAGATTGATTTACTTTCCATGCCGAGGGGGGACACACAGCCTGGGTAAGTCGAAAGAAACACGCAGATGTAGTTTCAGGAAGTTTGAAACTTTTTAGTATCTTTTAATCCGTACAATTAAGTGTTGAGATTTGGAATCGCTTTTAACTTATTTATTTATGCTATACCTCCCACATAGCCCTTCAAATTTAAAGCTGAGGCCATACCTTTAGGAGTTAATTAATTTTCTAAGGAAACTTTCGCACAGCGAGGACTTCCAAGTTAAATAGTTAGTTAAGAAACAACGTGAGTTGTGAATGGAAACTTAATCCCCTCAACAAACTTTGAAAAGCTAGATGGTTAAATTATCCCAATCAACGTTAAGATAATTGCAGGTCACGAATTTTCCGACGAATTTCTCCACGCTAGGGGCTGGTTTTCCATCTTTAAGCAGGTAATTAATACCGCTTTCGTGATTTGCAGTTGCAGATGTATTTTTTGCTTGTACAGATACGTGTAAGACAAATACATTACCTGATAATAATAATCATGATAATGATGATTTTAATAACTATAGCGGTAGAGATAATAATGGTGATCAGAGTGACGATAATAACTTAAACATTAAGTGTTAATGGTAATAAAATATGACAGTGATAAGAATAAAGGTAATAAAGATTAAAAACAATGAAAAATATGAGGAGAAATGGAAATTACCTGGACAGCCATAGATCTCAAGCCTCATGGATATGTGGTTGTGCCATCTCACCGGTCTAATTCGTATGAAGCGTGCTCTAATTGGTCTGCGTATTTCGTGATAAACGACGGTCTCTCTGTCACTATTTCCACGAAAGACCTATGTAAAATTATCAAGACAAGTGGAAAGTGAGCTTTTGATCAGAACATCGATGAAGGTTTCATACACTCCCAAACAATAAAGCTGTTGGGGAGACGGAATATTGCTTTCCGATTTGGGGTTACTTTGTCTTATTGTCTCCTATAATTTTTAGATTTTATGTTTGCTCCAGATCACTGATGATGTCTTAAAAATAGAAACAATAAAACTAGTAAGTTGTACCTTTTCAGCTTCGAGTGGCGAAGCCTTATAAAACTGAAACGTTACTCCATCGTCACTATACTGCAACTTATATGCTGTCACATATTCGTCATGGCTTTGTGTGCCTTGGGTCGCTATACCAGTCACTGTAGTGTATTGACCAAGATCCACCTGAAACCACTGGTTTAAGTCCTTTGCACGTGATGACCAACCTCCGGAGGTTCCCGGAACTTTCTTATAATGTAACCTTCCTTGCCTGGCCCCATAATTGCTTTTCCACTGTGAAGAAGCAGTTATCTGTGCATCGGTGATTGCCCCGCTATCCATGCCAAGTGGCGCTGCACAACCTGTTTGTATTGAAACAGGACATGAAGGTGAAACGTGTATCTTTTTACGAACAGTTAAAGTCTTCGTTTCAGCGGAGCATGATACGTTTGTTCTCTAAACTTAAATTTTCAAAAATTAATAAATCGGAACGTTTCTCATCCGGCCCCCACGATGTTTTTTTAATTATTAAAGAGTTATATTGAAAGTCTATGATTGATATTTAAAGTTTCAGTTGCTTTTAAGGTTTTATTAAATCGTGTCAACCGCGTCAACTGTGTCCGGCTATTGCCAGAAAGAGGTGTACCTGGGCATCCATAAATCTCCATTCTCATCGATATCCGGTCGTTCCAGGCAAGCGGTTTCAATCGGATGTAACGAGTGGTTATTGGTGGGCTCAATATGTTATAAACAACAGTATTTTGGTCTCGATTGCCATTGAACACCTAAACAATAGACAAAGGAATAAAGAATTTGGGTAAATTTCACATCACTACTTAGGTTTGTTCAACCAACAGATTTTATGCAGACTTGAGGTCTTATTGATTAACTGAGTGATGAGTAGATAAATGTATGAGTTCTGATGGGTGAATGGTGAGATGGACAAAAGATGGACGGTGGATCGGTGGATTGAGCGAATGGATGGTAAGGATGGATGGATGGATGAATGGATGGATAAAGGAATTAATGGAAATATGGAGAGATGGATGGATTGAGCGAAAGTATGGAATGGATTAATGGTTGGAGGATTAGATAGATAGATAAGTAGAAAACCTTATTTAACCCGGTAATTTTTGATCAAAGTTTACAATGTGCTGCACTTTTGTTCTTCCCAAAAGCCATGGACTACAAAATTACGACTAAGCTTTTAAACCATTAAGAAATTTATTTTGGTTAATGTAAATAATGGTTTTAATTTACTTTAGAAAGAGTTAAGAAACAATCTTACAAATGAAGTGTTTCACTAAAAATAAATAGAGAGATTGAGAGAATCTAATTTTTTCTTAAAAGCTTAAATGTATTTTTCATATTTCACTTCGTTTGATGACGTATTCCAAACTTTTGTCCCAGTGTAAGCAGAACTGTTCCCCTAGTAGTCTGTTTCAGCAACCGGTTAAGCGAGATTTCTACCGAAGGTTCTTGGATTATACACTGATTTCCCAAATACTACTCGAAAAGATATCTTCTAACTAAGCTGGGGTCATACATAAAGTTTTTCGGTGAAGTGGCCATAGACGTTATCCCATACAATGCCACAATTATCATAGTAGGGCTCCATAATTGAATGAGACGCAATAACCAGGTTAGGAACAAAAAGCTTAGTGGATGAATAAATCAGTAGATGGAAGAATCAGTGGATGGAAGGATAGATGGATTGAGCGACTGCATGGATAAATGGGTGAATGAGTAAAAGGATGA